CTTGTTGATGCCTCTATTAATTGGCAATTTTTGAGATGGGAGTTCTGCTCCAATGGTACCACATGCATTTGCATAGTATTGAGTCGCATTAATTGATTGCATAAAGAGGTTGTACATCGAAGTGGCATATGTGTATATTGTTGATATTCTGTTACGATGTTTGTTGTTTATAAATGAGAAGTGGTAATGCTATGTGATCTAATTTAATATATTAATTTTCATGCGCTTTATTATATTGTTAGATATCTCCTCCCTTTTGTTTGAATGTTACCCTTATGTTGGTAACGTGCAGGTAATCGAGAGTGAAGACGGTATACCTTCAGTAGTTCGAGTCGGTGTCATTGCTCTGATATGTAACACTCGGGGGGATGAACACTTGTCGTTTTTTATTGTTGGTTATTTAGTTTTTGAACTCTAAGTTGATTATTACTAAATATGTGTTGTTTTGAGTTGCTGTAACGATGATAAAGATGTTATTAAGAATTTGGTTGCGTAGATGTTTAGATTGTTGAATTATTTAATTATTGTATTATGCTGATGGTTCATCCGAAGTTTTAAAGTATTATATATCCACGATGAATGCCATGAGTTTTTAATGATGAATTTGTGGCATCCTGATTCATTTGCATGAATGATTTTATAACTTTGATTTATTTATATAATTGCCGGGTAGAATTAGGGTGTTACAGATATCATCCTTTGATCTTGTCTTCTGATGGACTTCAAGATGTTGATTAGAGATGATTCCAAAAGATCTTCTTTTATTTAAACCTTTCTTATGATGGAATACTTTTGATGTTGAATGAAGGTGCGTATTCCATGAATTCTCCGAGTCTTTAGAATCTTGACTTTGTCTTCAGAAACATTAAAAGAAACTCTTTTGGTGAACCGGTCTTGACTTCTGATCATGGAGTAGATGCCTTCTCTATATGTATTCAGAATCTTGACATTGTCTTTAGACTTGTAAGCAACAACTCATCTAATGAACTAGTCTTGACATCTGATCTTTTGCATTGGAAGCTTGTTTCTTATATCCTCTTGACTTCTGATCTTGAAGCAACAACTTATCAAAAACTCTTTCTTCTTGGACACTCATTAAGATTATTTTCTTATTTAAATTAAGCATTCCATAGAACTACTGATGTTTCTTTAGAAACAAAATGCAATGGTTCTTCTTCTGAGTGATAAGGTGATTCTGATGTTATCTTGATTAAGACTATCCAGAATTCTAATATTGTATATGCACACTCAATGAAACAATTAGAACTAAAATTAATTATCATAAAATATATGATTGTTATCATCAAAACTTAGAGATTAAACATATATTTAAATCTTGTTTTAACAATAATATCATCATATCAACATAATTCATCATAATAGCATACATCATAATATTAAGTCAACATATACATTATACATTCATAATGTATAGACACTGGAAAAATAAAATTATTTATTTATTTTATTCCACCAAAATAGAGTTCATCGTGTTAGCTTTCCAATGCTTCAAACGGTACTTGATTTGCACTTATGGTTAAAAATATATTGTCGAAATGATTTCACATTACGAAAACCCGATAGCTGTTATGGCCACCCATAATGGCCATTACGGCCCGTAATGCTCAAAATACTAAATTTCATTTTTCGCACGTTACTTGTACAAAAATATAGAGGGTTATTACGTCCACCTATAACAGCTATTACCAGCCGTAATAGAGCCCAGAAAACCACTTTTTCTACGCGATTTTGTGCAATCTCTCTTATTTGTTAGTCTTGCAACAAACCCTAAGCCTTAAGTTTTGACCCACAACAATCCCAAAATATATCATATCATATGGTACATAATTCAGGGGAAATAAACACATCACTACTCAATTCACTTCATCAATTTCATCAATTAATCACAAAATATCAACGATCCATCAACAAGATTCAAGCACACATACAAAAATCATGAGGATGCAAGAATACATAACCATGGAAAACCTAATTACTACCATAACCCATCAGTATGCATTCCGTTATAGAGTTAGAGCCCTACCCTTGCCTTATATTGACGATTTTAAACTCCTACAACAAATTCCTTTGTCCTAGACTCAAGTGCACTCTTCTGCTCTTCTCTCTTTTCATAATAAGTTTTCACGTTCTTTTCTTCTCACTTCCTTGTTTTCCAAATGTTAACCTCTAGACCCTTAAATCTTAATTTCCACTTTACCCTTCTCCATTTAAATAATTATTTTAGTTTATAATTATAAAATAAACACTCTTGTTATTCTAGTAATAATAATAAACTAAAACACTAGACATCTCTCTACACTCTTATGTCTCTATGTCATTAGTCATACACCCCCAAGCTTAATTATCTATAATTTTTAAGATAACCACTTATCGCCAAAGCACCACCACTCATTCTGGTATTCATTAAAACATACAAAAGCACCATATCGCATAATTACTTAATTAAAAATAATTTAAACAAAAAATGGGGTATTATACTTCTGACCAAGAATGCTTCCGACTTTTCTTGCCAGAAGACGCCCTCAGAGCCTACTCTACCTCTCATATTGAGGTTCGATCAATAAGACGCAACTCTTGCCCCTATAGACTACTCTGCAGCTCTTTAATTCTCATGGTACTAAGATTCTTAGAGTGTTAAATTGCTACAACAATGTAATCCAATTGAGGAGTAAGAGATATTAATACCTTCTCAATGATTACCTGTTTAGAAAAAGTTTCTCCATATAATTGCATCTCATTTGCGATAAGAATAACTATAGAGAAATAATCTGGTACCTTTTCATTGTTCTTCATGTCGTGATTCTCATACTTATAACATAGAGATTGAAACTTCACCTTCTTAACTGATGCATCACTATTGTAGCATAGTGTCAGTATATCCCACGCAACCTTCACCATCGTTGAATCAGTGATTTTCTCAAACACATTCACATCTACACACTGATGGATATAGAACAACACTTTCTGATTTTTTCATCCTCGTATCTCGTTTTGTGTTTCTATGATCCTCTGTCGCATATGTTGCAACTAGAATGTAACAGTCGATGACGAGATCAAGAACGTCTTGAGAACAGAACATCACACATATTTGAATCATCCACCGATTCCAATTTTTTCATCCAGCACTAGAAGCTTGGTATTAAAACTATTTACATCGTTCATCTTTGTTCTTGTGCATTAAAACTCACTTAGATCTCATATCTTACCAAAGGAGTGTGTTTTCCGATCCCAAAAAATCAAGAAATGCAATTCTGTTATGATTCCGATAGTAAATTCTATGCAAATTCGAGAAAAACAAAATCAATTCAACACGAATCCCGTACACTCATATCTCTTTGTGAATCGAGCCAAAGATCTAGATAACAATTTTTGGAGAACAAGGTTGAAGATGAAGATTAAGATGGAAGAAGGGAGAGAAAGAGAAGAGAGAGAAAACAATTATAACAAACTTTTGAAGAGATAGAAACTTCATTCACTACTTACTTATAAAAGTAATTACACTATGGTGTTTAAATACAATAAAATAAAAATGACACGTAAGAAAACTATGCCACACAAGAACTATTAAAACAAGTTCACAAAACAAAGATGAATTCCATAAGCTAATCAGCACAACTTCTAGAACAACAACCTTAGAAACTTCTTCTTCTGAGTCAAAATATTGCTTCTGAATATGAATTACTTATAACATAAATGATATTTCGTAAGAGAAACGTGAGAATGAAAATACACATATAAATAAAAATTAGAAAATAATTAGTGGCGTTTTATCTATTTTTAAATTATAAAATAACGATAAAATTGAGCAGGGGGTAACCCCGGACAATGCATACTCGTGAAAAATTATGTAGGGTAATCCCTACAACACATTACGTCTCCTTAATGTTTGTCTACCATTCTGACTTTTAAATTAACCAAGTCCCTTTCCAAGTAAAATTCAACGTGCAATTAAAGTGTGCTAACAAATACCACTTGTAATGTATAAATTTAAAATACAAGTATTTACAAAATGCGGGGTTACCCCATGCAATACACAATTGAAATATTTTTAGAAAAAGTTACCCTTCACAAAATTAATTTAATTTTTTTATTAAAATTTTGCATTGCGAAGGATTTACCCCTAGCTACATAATTTTTTTTCAAAGGAGTTTTACCTTTGACAACGACAGAGCTAAAAATTTTAATTTTCGGGACAATATATTAAATTATAAATTTTAGCATTATATATATATATATATATATATATATATATATATATATATATATATATATATGGATAAGGATTAAATGACACAAGGTGTCAAATTTAATAACATAACACCTTTGATAATTCTTTATTGTATATCTGTAGAACAAAATCCATTATTGAATTGAAAGTTATCATCAAATAGATCATATCTATAAATTTAATATCAATGAAAGTTATTTGATATTCTTACCATATATATATATATATACTTCTAGATAAATAAATTCAAAACACAAGTATATATATATATATATATATATATATATATATATATATATATATATATATATATATATATATATATATATATATATATATATATATATATATATATATATATATATATATATATATATATATATATATATATACTTCTATATATATAAATTTAAACCACAATTATATATAGTTATATACTTCTAGATAAATAAATTCAAAAACACAAATATTTATGTATATATACTTCTAGAATAACTAAAGGGACAGGAAAAAAAATAGAAAAACTTAAAAATTAATTATTTTTATATAAGACCCAAAAGTAAAAAAAAAATCAAAATAGAAGAATAAAAAGTAAAAAATCTATCATACATATTTATCCAATCAAATATTATTAATATGTCAGCTCCTACACAATCAAATACACCATTACTTTTACAAGTGACACTGTATATATATCGCCACTCACATTCCTTTCTAACAAACTCAACCCTTTCTAGCAAACTCAGTAAAAATGACCGCTTTCTTTCTCACCCTTATCTCTCTCTTTTTTCTTATCATCACACTGAAGCTCTTGTTTTACACAACAAGATTCAAGAACCTTCCACCGGGTCCACCGTTTCTTCCAATAATTGGAAACCTTCATCAACTCAAAAAACCCATCCACCATACTTTCCAAACCTTATCACAAAAACATGGCCAAATCTTTTCTCTTTGGTTAGGTTCTCGTCTCGTTGTTGTTGTTTCTTCGTTAAAAACAGCACAAGAATTTTTTACCAAACATGACATCATTTTAGCGAATCGACCTCAATTCTTATTCGGAAAATATATCAACTACAACTACACCACATTAATACAAGCATCATATGGTGACCATTGGCGCAATCTCCGTCGTATAATAACAACCGAGGTACTCTCATCTAATCGTTTAAATTCCTTCTTGGAAATACGAAGAGACGAGATAATGAGACTTATACAAAAGCTAGCAAGCGTTTCATATCATGATTTTTCAGAGGTGGAACTTGCGCCAATGTTTTCAGAATTGACATTCAACACAGTCATGAGAATGATGTCAGGGAAACGATATTATGGTGATGATTGTGATGTGAGTGATGTTGAGGAAGCAAGGTTGTTTAGAGAGATAATGAAAGAGATTCTGAGTTTAGGAGGAGCAACCAACATTAGTGATTTTTTAGGGTTTTTAAGGTGGTTTGATTTTGATGGTTTGGAGAAGAGTCTTAAGAGGATAAGTAAGAGAGCAGATTCATTTTTACAAAGACTAATTGATGAACATAGATTTGAAAAGAGGACCACTAATACTATGTTAGATCATCTCTTAAAACAACAACAGTCACAACCTGAATATTACACAGACCAAATCATCAAAGGACTTATCATGGTAAGTAGTTACAATAATTTTTGTCAAAGTAGTAATAATCACTATAAACTCACACACACAATTGTAAGTACATGCTTCCAATCTAGGCCAATAGAGATTTGTTAATGCTTTGTTAAAATTGAGTTATAAAGGCATAAAAGAAAATAAAATTATTTTTCTAAATTTTCAAGTGATATTGACATTTTGTTGAATGTTTGTAGGTTATGCTTCTTGTAGGAACTGACACATCATCTATAACTTTAGAATGGGCTATGACCAATTTATTAAATAATCCAAATATATTAAAGAAGGCAAAAGATGAGTTGGACACTCACGTGGGACAAGACCACCTAGTAAATGAACATGATATTTCAAAACTTTCTTATCTTCAAAATATTATTTATGAGAGTCTCCGATTACATCCAGCTGCTCCACTATTATTGCCTCATTTTTCTTCAAAAGATTTTACAATAGAAAAATATAATATCCCACAAAACACAATTTTAATGGTCAATGCATGGGCCATTCATAGAGATCCAAATTTGTGGATTGATCCTATATGTTTTAAGCCCGAAAGATTTGAGAAAGAAGGTGAGACAAATAAACTACTTTCATTTGGAATGGGAAGAAGGGCTTGTCCAGGAGAAAATTTGGCTCATCGCACAATGAGTGTAACTTTAGGTTTATTGATTCAGTGTTTTGAGTGGAAACGTATAGGTAAAGATAAAATTGACATGGGCGAAAAAAAAGGAGTTACTTTGGAAAAAGAGATTTCCTTAAAAGCAATGTGCAAATTGCATCATCCAATGAAGATTAAAAATGCTTTCTAATTTAGTAATATTTATATTTTTTTAATAAGAGATGCATGATATAATCATCTCTAAATTACTTTTAAATATGTAATTCCAGAATAAAATCAATAGAATTAAGGATGTTTTTTAATTAATTAATGTTTATTTTTGTCCAAAAGTCTATAAACTTTTTATATGTCTTTAAATTATCCATTATAATAATTAAGTGATTACCATTCCAACTTATTTTATGTAATTTTTTCTTACATTTATCTTTTTTTTCTTCATATGGGTGAAAAATCATTCTTTCATCTCTTTTTCTTTTTCTAAAGATAGAATCTAATAAAACTAAAGAGGAATAAAGGATAAGAATGAGGGGGCCAAACTAAAACTCTCTAAGATGAAAGTCTAAGTCTAAAAATATACCTAATTTATCATACAAGAAATTTTTAGATATCTCCTCATGAACATTGAGAGAACAATAATTTCCTCTGTCGTTTTTATAACAATATAAAAACATTAAATCATCATGATAATAAGATATCACTCTATCATTTTTAAATTAAATATAGAAAAAAAAATCAAATATTTCACATTTAATAAGTATGTATTTTGTGCATTTGTTTACTAACTTTTTTTTTTTTGTTTTCTGATTTCAAACAAAAACAGACTTGGGCATTTTTACTAATTCTTAACCCCCATTTTTACTTTTTAACCCCCAAGCCCAATGTTTTCATATTCTTTTTATCTTCTTTTTTTTTATTTCTTTATTCATCTTATTCAAACTAAAAAAAAAAAAAAATTTCTTAAATTAAAAATATTGTAATACTTTATTTCTTTTTTTGACTAAATTAGAATTTATTAGTTCTTCTACATCATAAAACATTTTCTTTTCTACATTAACACAAATTATTTTCTAAACAAATTAAATTAGATTTAGGTTTTTAATTAATTTAAATTTTAGGTTTTGATTATATAATTAATTAATTTTTCTTGTAATAAGATTTAATTAATTCAATTAGGTTAACATTAAACTTTTTTCTATCAAAAACCCTAAAAGCAATTTCTTCTCCATGTCTATATTTTGTGCATAATTATTGTTGTAATTCATATTTAATGGTTTGTAATAGTAACTAGGGCTTTATTTCTTTCTTCCCCTATTGAACAAAATTGTACCTCCCATTCCCGAAGCGTTGTAATAGCATAGGATATTTAAATTCCCCAATATATCACTTTCCTTATTATTGCTAGTAATTTGAGTTTTGTATGGCAAGATTCAAAATCAAATATTAGACAACCCTAATCTAATATAAAATAATTGAATCAAACACACTTTGCACACATGCACCTCTAGGGTAATCCATACTTGTTGTCTCAGATTAAAGCAGTCATGTCCCTCGAATGTGAGACGTTTTAGCAAAAGACCATCGATTAAAAGATCGTAGTCCCTCGATGACACTTCAATGTTGCCTTCGATAAAGGATCTTAGTCCCTTATGACAAATTGCTAAAACATCTTACAAGTTGCCTTCTATGACTGTACGATGACTCACGCTCGTCCCTCACATCCAATGATATGGCTTTCTACCAATCAATGGTAAAATAGCACTATCAAAAGGAGGAGGAAAAGAATAAAGACTTTTTGAGTAGGTAGGTTGCTCGTAATTGCTTGCTCACAAACTAAAAACCATTTCCACACTTCACACTTTAAAAACACTTTTCAAACAAACATTTTGTATACGTTCTCAATGATACGAGAATCATTACAAAATTTCCTTACATTGGCATCTTCAAAACATCTTTCTAAACACTCCCTTTTAACAAATATTTTCAAAACCAACACTTGCGATACGAGAATCATTTTAATGTTTTCCAAACTTAGGCATTTTCAAAATATTTTAAAACTTACACAAACACAAAGGCATTTCAAAGTGAGCTAGCAATTAAGAACCAATAGATAACTACAGATGAAAAGGATGCTAACACCTTCCCTTTTCATAACCTGCCCCCCGAACTCAAGAAAATTCTCAAAAGGTCTTTCCTGTTCTTTTCACCATTTCCGTTATTGGATAAAAGAAAAGTCGGTGGCGACTCTTGCTATCTGCAACATTTGCGATAAAACGCATAACACCCAAGTAAGTTATCCCACCGTATCACAGAACTGACGACTCTGTTGGGGAGAAAACTAAAAGTGGGTTTACCTTAAGAGCTAGATAACCTTTATTTACTTTATTTGTTTTCCTTGTTCGCTTTACATTTGTGGGTTATGCTTGGGTTTATTTCTTGTATAGATCATATACCCATATTTGGGGCATATTAGGTAAGTAGCGATAGATTGTGGGGACTATGTGGCATAATACCGACATGGTTGAAGAAATGGCTATGTTAGAGTGACATATTTGTTGGTACCGGTGTTCCGTGAGTGCAGTCAAGGAGAATACGGGACCGCTGTGTGGTGTCATGAAGCACTTACTGACTGTAGAACCTTAGTTGAACAACTTGGCCATTAGAAAGTAGTGAGATAGCTGGATTTTGTGCAAGACTAAAGTTGGTTGATACTCGATACTACACTAATTGAGATCGGTCTTTCGGGATATTTTGGTCGTAGTTTGGATGCTTGAGCTAAAACAATGCCCGATGAAGAAAGATCAGTGATATTGAGATTCCTAGAACCCGATTACTTCTTTTAGGACAGGTTGAACCAAATAAACTTTAAGAGGGTACTTACCTATAAACCCCATGCAAGCCTAAACCTAAGGCCTTGTGTTGTTTGTTTATGTGTGATTTTTTGTTCATAAACATCATGATATTATGCCATAGCATTTTCACACACCATTTCAAGGACCTATGGATTTATCTTTATTCTGTTTTGTATGATATAGCTTCCACTCGCAGAAATACCATCTGAATCAACTTCGTAACGATGCCTCCTCAATTCAAAGATTTAGCATCAAGGGTTCTTGAAAATTATCCGTTCACCAAAAATATGTTTGACTTCTCAATATGGTTACCTTAAGCTTTGAAGAGGATATGATAAGGGTGCTCTTTCAATTCTTTGACCCTATACATCATTGTTTCACCTTTCCCGATTATCAATTGGTTCCTACAATAGAAGAATTCTCTCAACTACTAGGAGTATATGTTCTTGATCAAATACCCTTCATCGGTTTAGAGGAAACTCCAAAGCCTGAAGTTATTGCCAAGGCCTTACATTTGAAGAGTTCTAACATTGTAGCTAATTGGGAGACAAGAAGTGGGGTCAAAGGCTTTTTGGCTAAATTCCTGATGGAGACGGCTCATTTGTTTTTGGATGATTTGGATTTACAAGCTTTTGAAGAAGTCTTGGCCCTTCTAATCTATGGGTTGGTGCTTTTTCCTAACCCTGACCAACTCATAGATGTGAATATTGTCAAAATTTTCTTTACTCGTAACCCTGTACCTACATTTCTTAGAGACGTTTTGCACTCTCTTCATACTCGCACTATGAGGAAGCGAGGTACTCTCATGTGTTTCTTACCTTTGCTGTCTAGGTGGTTTATTGCACACCTTCCCTGATCAGTTTTAAAGAATGATCATGGTTTAAGGTGGTCGCAAAGAATAATGTCGCTTTCTCATGCAAATATCCATTGGTGCTCTCTATCTCAAGAGGACATTACTATCATTGACCATTGTGGGGAGTTCCCTAATGATCCACTCTTGGGCATTAAGGGAGGTATTATTGATAACACTTCTCTGGCTCTAATACAATTTGTCTATGCTTAAAGAGATGGTCCCCATGACACACTCATTCAAGGTATCATATTCGACTACGAGAAGAATGTCTAAGGTTATCATTGAAGGTTTGTACATGTTTGGCGCATGGTAAGCAAGGTTGATAGCAACACTTTGGGGCATAAGAATTCCATCCTTATTGAGCCTTATCTCAAATGGGTATGAGCACGTGCTCAAAGTTTCATGATGTCATATCCAACTATCTTACCTATAGTTGTGGAGCTTGTTGATGGGGGAAATATTCCTTATACCATTCTCCATCCTGACATGCCTACCAACATCGAAGAGTTATAGAGATCGTGGATTCAACTCAAGGGGGAATGATACAACTTTGAAGCACGATTCTATGCAAACAAGAAGAAAGTGTTGGAGCTCATCAGACAGCTTCACGAGGAGCAAATCATGAATGCCTACATTGCACCAAAGAGGAAGCGCCCGTGGGAGACTTTAGTCTTTTGTTTTTCATTGTAATCCCAAAGGGAAATTGTAATCTTTGAACTTATTAATATAATTATTGTTTATGTTTCCTTTTTGGCTAGCAAATTTAAATCTCTTGACGTACTTGAAAACATTGCATCGACATAGCATGTATCATATCATAAGTAGGTTTTCCGATACAGGTTTCCTCATCTTTTTACTGTTTATTTCAGTATAAGATGGCTCTAGAGAAAACCGTCAAAGATCTGCAAACTCAACATGCACAATTCCAAGAGACTCTCCTCAACTTAGCTAAAGGACATCAAGAAATGATGGAACTCCTTGCCACCAAAAATAAGACCAAGAAATGGGCTGTTCTTCTCAACATGGGAAGAAGGTTCAAAGGGCCCACCCAACTGGCTCAAATAGAAGAAGCCTCTTCCGAGGAAAAAGACAATCAAGACGAGGAAGTTAGAAGCACTAGAGCTAGGGGTGGAAATATCCAAATTACTGAGGACGAAGACTATTCCGAAGAACAGTACCCATTGGCGGATGACAAATACAAACAATTAGAACATCGACTTAAGGCTTTAGAGATCCAAACAATGCCTGGTTAAGACTTTGCAGACTTAGGTTTGGTCCCTGGGGTGGTCATTCCCCACAAATTCAAGGTCCTTGTCTTTGCTAAATATGATGGGAGCTCCTGTCTCAAGATGCATCTGAGGTCTTATGTCCGAAAGATTCAACCACACACCACCGATAGGAAGTTATGGGTGCACTTATTCCAAGAGAGCTTATCTAGAGCACAGTTGAAATGGTTCTATCAACTTGAGGGGACTAATATCCACACTT